TATAAATTACTTACTTTATTGAATGTTTTACTATTTAATAATCAATTACATTTGAAAATATGTATCGATTTTCCTTAGAATTGACCGCTTTTGAAATTTTCTACATGTGCAGCACGTGCTAATTAGATCGAAATTGGAGTATGCGCACGGCGATGTTGTATTTATAGATCGCAAAAGATCCTCTTTAAACAACATTTTTCGTAATATTCCAATCCTGGATACCAGGATTTTTTCAATAATGTCAAATCCTATTTTAAAATCATATAATAATATTTTCTAAATTTTCCAGTTTTATATATTTCTATAAACTTGTTATAATTTAAATATTTTCGTTATTTATTAAAAATAACGAAGTTTCTTCAAATTATTCTAATTTGATGAAAAATTAAAACTTTCAGAACATCCAGTTCGGCACATCCAGTAGTGTAGTTTCATTCAATAACTATAATTTGCGTATAATCTGTCTAGAAATAATTAATAAAAATCGAATTGAATTGAATTGAGGGTTACTCTGCCCTTCAAGTTTTATTTCTATCAGTATCACGATCTTACGAAATTCGCAATTTCTATCTTCAATTTTCTTTTGTACTATAAACTATGCTTTATTACTTACCATGTGCTTGTTTTCCGCAACATTATTAACAGTCTTACTTAAGATATTATTACATAATAAAGCACTTTGTTTTCAATACATGCTTTCAATACACTTGCAAGCTCAGTTTCCTATAAAAAAAGCAAAGATAATTATTAACGTAATAATTATTGCATTAATATTTAATGCATAGTGTAAGATAAAAGATAATAAAATAGAATTTAAAAAAATAAAAAATTTTACTAGACATACATACACAAAAATATGCATAGACAATTGTAATACATTGCATATTATTTATACAGATAAATATGTAAGATAAATAATAATTATTTTATTTACAAAGAGCTAATATAACTAATATCATATCAAAGAGCTAATATCACTAATATAATATCACTAATATCACTGTAACAATAAAAATAAATCATGTATAGAATGTATAGAATGTTTGATAATTCATAGTACATCATTCGTGTACTGATAGAGTGGTTTTAATTAATTATAAGTAGTAAATAAACAGTAATTATAATCTAGCACATATTTGTAAATTATATCTCCAAACATCTTACCGCGTTCCTAACTATAACTATAAACGCGCATAAAATTAGACATATTTGGCATTTGCACATTTGCATTTATCGAACAGAGCGAGTTTATTTGGCAATCTTTAATCATTAATTCTTCATTAAATATTAAAAAAAATTGCAAAATAATAAAATTTTTTATTATATATTTTTTAACTCTCGCAGATAAGAAATATAATAATAATTATTGAACATCCTTACATGAATAATTTGCTGTAGATTATATACACTATATGTGTATGTAATAAATAAAAATAATGTTTTGCAATAAATTACTGGGAGTAATAAAGTATTTTCAATATTATTGTATAAAATAAACTATTGATTATAAAAATGCTTCTTGTTTTACGTTAACATTTCAAATCTAAGTTATAATAACAATACATAGTTGATAGAAAAAACGAAAACATTTAAATACAATATTTTATATAAATTAAATTAAATATCAAAGAACTTACCCTGATCGAAAAATATCTATATTATCTATTTCTGCGTTTAAACATGTCTTTGATCTGTAAACATTTATCTCATGACTTACTGTTAATATAAAAATAATAAAATACTCATAATATAAAAATTAGTTTGAACATTAAAACGTATGTTATAAAATACTTTAAACTGAAAAAGGTAAAAGATCCAAGTTGTAGAAATATTTAAATAGAAGATTACGCAGACTGC